TATCTTGAAATCCTGAAGACTGCAAATAAAACGATCTAATCTCTTTTGCAGAGTCCGGTTGCTGGCCAACATCTGGTTGGACTTTGTGTCATATGTCCATCCATTTTCATTTGCCCTCAGCTGAGACCATGCATCAATCCACCCATCTTGTAAAGGAAACTGACCATCCATTTTGTCATCCCAATTCATGTCCCCTCCAAAAACAACATTTGGGTACTTGCAAAGAACAGTCATAGCCTCATGGGCCTGCTCTACACGTTCCTTGCTGTACATCTGATCCCATTTGGGCGGCGCTGGACAGGGGCTTTCAAGATGGCTAGTAGCAACAACAAATGGCTTCCCATTCATAGCTTCAATCTCCGCAATGCAAAGTTCTCTTCCCATTATAGAATTACTGAAGGGCACGGTGCTGAAAGATTTAACAGGTAGTTTGCTTAACTGCAAATGATTTGACAGACATGACATCAGTAAAGTGTTTCTCCGCTTAGTCCCTCTCATTAATACCATAAATAATTGCTCATTTAGAACGCATAGAACTTCCCATGCATGAATATGAACAAACAAGTTTAATCCTCCTCAACAAACTGCATGACAGAAGACAAAGGAGCACGTCTGTCTATTAAATATTTAAATCTATATGGTAAGCTAAAGAATTCTGATATGCACATAACTATCCCATTATCAATGCCATTTCATATCCAGTATCTGTATGGCTGAACTACAAAAAACGCATCAGGATGCATCAATCATCGGCCGCGTGGTATGAGTGCAGAGACATATAAAATATGTTTGGCAGTGTAAAACTTACCACCACACAAAAATATTGCCTTGAGTAAGCCTTGTCGAAAGAAACTGAGCAACGATATACATTCCACCAGCTAGCTTCCTTGAAAATGTCGAATATATTTGGAGTCACCTCCTGTTCAAGAAGAGGTAAAGATCGATAAAGAAGCATGTTTGTTGGCAATCATAAATGAACGCAACAGAAATATTTAACAGAGGAAACCTGAAAACAGATTAAATCAGGGTTATGATGTTGAATAAGGTCACCAATTGCTTCCATCCTCTTATGAACCTCCAAATCTTCCCGGAACCAAACATTGTAACTTAAGATCTTCAACGAACTGAGAGGCTTGCCTGAATGCTCTGCCATACAGTTAGTCTGTGTTTAGTAATGTATAAGCTAGACACCCGTCTGTTGAATACGAGCAGAAAACCAACAGTTTATCACAAAGGAAGAAGACCGGGTTTAGCCTCAATCAATAACAAGGCGGTGACCAAAACAATAAATAAGCCTTTCAAGAAAGCACCAGAAACCTAAAGGGCTTAACTGGGGCCGAAGGGGATAAGGTCGTTATCCAAAACACTTACTTATTCCTATGCACAAATAGTCCTTTCAAGCTGTAACCTTTATTTACCCTGACCTTTCAAGTTTGTAACTAAATACATGTATATTAAGTTCTCAAATTATTCCAACGCAGTCCCTTCAAGTTCGTAAAAATCAGTCCTTTGAGGACCAAAATGGAGCCGAAAGGGCACGGGTCGCAATTCAGAGCAGTAAAGTCCTTTCAAGTTTGTAACTAGATACAAGCATTTTGAGTTACCTTCTCAGAGTAGACTGTTCAAGCGCAATATTTTATTTCTCAAACCATGTATTTATTATATAGGGCCAAAAAGAAAAACTTGCGTTCAGTGAAACAAAAGGGTGCAATTTTTTGTTTCTTTTCGGCATGTCTTTCTCCTTTATCACAAGACCGCGAAAGTCTTCTTCCAACGAAATGAAACTAAAAAACCAGTAATATGTAATAGCCGGCTAAATCCACTCCAGGATGAACGAAAGAAAACTCACCAGTGGCACTAATCTCTTTTCTAGACGCCTTGAAGTCTCGAAAACTTTCTGACTCGGTGCGATCGTTATCAGCCTGAATTGACTCCGTGATCTTCCTCTTGCAAGATCGCAGAGGGAAAAAGACAGACCCCACCGAAGGATCCAAATCGCCCTCGTAAAGGGGGTCATTCAAATCCTCGAAGTTCGACAGGGACAAAACAGGGCATCTTGTATCGCAGATTTCGCAGTTAGAATTCTTATACGGGTTCAAGAAAGTGCAGGCCTTGCATGACCATTTAGGGGGCGAAGAAGATGAAGAAGCAGGTGGAGACAATGAAGGTGACGACGACAAGCAGATTTGACAAGACGACTTCTGTGACGGAGGGTTCAAAAATGTGCATTTTTTGCAGGACCAAGACATCGAAATGTTACAACAAGCGGCCAACTTTACTAGGGCTCGAGAGAGAGCTTGAGAAGGCGATGAAACTCGCAATCTCATTTCAAATTTCTAGCGGCTTTGAGTGGGGGAGTAGAATCGAATCGAATCGAATCGACTCGACTGAAAAGTCAAAACGCACCAAGAATGTTTCTTTAAACGGCAACTCGGCTATGTCGTCTGAGTCCATGCTTCTGGCTTGATTGCGCTAGTTCATACACCCGGGGGGGGGATGAAAAATAAAAAGAAAAAAAATATTAAGGAAAAATAACCCAAAAATACCTATTGAAATTTAAAAAGATGAAATGACTAACAGACATGAGGTAGGAATATGAAAATTGCAAAATTTGATAGAAAGACTAAATACCACTAAAGTGAGATGAAAAGCATTAAAAATTTTGCCTTTTGATGTTATTATAAACAAGCAAGCTTTTTGATGTTATGAAAACATAACGGGTTTTGTAACTTGTTATTAGCTATTTACAGACTTAGTAAAATTCAAAAAGTTGAGTTGAACAAAGTTACTAAACATGTAATACGATTGACAACTTGTGAAATAAAACTAACCATTTCTATAGCACATTCTACAACCCATTATTAGTTGTTTTCAGACAATTTTACTAAACATGCAATGTGATTAACAACTTGTGAAATGAATTTTGTTCTTTTCATAACCCTCTTTTCCAACTTGTTATTAGCCATTTTCAAATAATTTTACTGAATGTATAATGTGATTGACCACTTGCAAAATGAAATTAACTATCTTGATAATGCGTTTTACAACTTGTTATTAGCCATTTTTAGACAATTTTATTAAACACACAACATGGTTGACAACTTGTAAAATAAAATCAATTATTGACATAATGCGATTTGCAACATATTATTAGCTTTTTCTTGGCAATTGTACTAAACATACGATGTGATTAACAATTTTCAAAATAAATATGACTATTTTCATAACCGTTTCATAACCTGTTATTAGTCATTTTTAGATAATTTTACTAAACATGTAGTGTGATGACAACTTGCAAAATGAAATTGATTGTCTGCATAACACATTTTGCAACTTATTATTAGCTATTTTCAAACAATTTTATTAAACATGTAATATAATTGATAACTCGCAAAATGTATTGGAGCATTTTCATAACGAGTTTTGTAACCTAGTGATTTTCATTCTTGGTGCAGTTTGGGGGGATTGAGCTAGACAAATTGAACAAGTAACAAACTTATAGGTGGACAAGGAACGTATCCAACACTTACATTTATTGGCGGATGGAATAAATTAAATAATTGGGAGTCTTTCGTTAAAGATATCAGAGCTGACCCCAAGCAAATTTGTTGATAAGCATGGCGGGATCAAACGGAGGGATAAAAAATAATAATTACATGAAAACAAAGAAGGGACTGGTCGGTCTCTTTGGTTTGTTAGGGTCTTTCACGCCTTCACCTTGCTTGGTTTCCTGCCTGCTACCATGGAGATACAAAATTTCAGATCCTAAACGATAAAGCACCTATTAAGATTTGAATAACAACCAAAAAAAAGGAGAAAATGGCACTTGGCATCAGCTTTTTTAGATTCCGCCTTCGGTTTGTTGCCTTTAATGTCGAAAACTGCAGCGGAACAGTTGAATCAGTTCTGCCTTGAAACTCAATCTGCAAACAAACGCAGAAAGAACCAAAAAAAGAATGAAAGAAAGGGCATAAGAATAATTGGCCAAAATTTGCAAATCCTTATTTACTACCTAAATACTTGTCTTTTGTGGAATGAGAATGATTAATTTAAAATTTTAGAATTCAAATAGTATTTATATGAAAAATTTTCAAATATTAGGATACAAATTTGTCTGAAAAATTTTAATAAAATACTAGGTAATTGATAGCTTTTTTGAGTGTAAATTTATCTTAAAAATTTGAAATCATAACAATATTGCTCTCACTATTAACAGTGAAAATAACTATTTTAACAGTTAACTTTAAATACTAATATTTCAGGCGAAAAAAGATAAATTTCACATCAAAATTCTTTTATTTCCTGCCAGCATGTTAGACATCAATCTTTTACTGAAAAAGAAGACATTTATCCATCAATCTCAATATGGATATTAAATATAAAATTTCTGAAAAAATATATAATCAATAAAAGAATAGCCTGTCTAAGAATCCGTGTGCATAGTTCATATGTCCTGTCCACAACTAAAGACCAATCCCTCCCAAGACATAAAAGATCCAACATTACTTCTAATTTTAATTATAAGACTTCATTTGCATTTTGTAAATAAAATTTTATAATTAGAACTAGAACTAATAACTAATATTCTCTCCAGTTCAAAATATAAGCTGAATTTTCTTAAATGGGTTAGTTTTTTTTATAGGGTAACATTCAATTTTACCCTCATATATTCTTTCTCCTCTTTCATTTACTTATTCACTTTACACATTTATTATTTTAAATTGATTTTAATTACTTTTTTTAATAAACATAATAGAAAAAATTCAGCTCATATTTTGAACCGAACCGAACCGAAAAAGAGTATATGCGAATTTTGCCCCATCCAATAATAACTTCAATAAGATCTCTCTGACACACATGGTTAGGAATCCAATTCCTCTAGTCCTCTCGAATCACAACATATTTAGACTCAATTATCTACCAATTGTGCGCGAACTCAATAGTAATTCATGGTTCAGTTGAGACAAAATGGACCCTCCAATGCGATTAGCATATTTTAATTAATTAACAATTGACAAATATAATATAAATGAATAGATAATTTAATTACAAGAACCCAGGATGGATTATAGATTATTCACCCTCCTCCGATCAAAATGAAGCATCTACACATAAACACAGAGGGCATTGCAGGTCACCCACAGTTTCTACTCTCTAATCCTCTGCCTTAAGAAACTCAAAATAATCCCTACATTATCCCCAAAAGAAAGAACAAAAATTGATTTATTTGAGCCTCAGCTTAGCTTAGCATCAAAAAAGGAACAGCATCATCATCATAAAGGGCAAGGCTGCAGCGAAGGAAATGTGCAAAACGTTGTTAAGAGCACTTATTTTGATGCTGCTCAACCTTAACTTGTTATTCCCCGCATTGCTGGATTGAGTAGTAGAATTGGATCCTTGACTCGTCTTGTTGCTTATTTTCTTACTGCATCAAACACAACGAAGGAACACGCTCAGAAAAAGATGCAGATACACGTGCATGTGCGTATTCATATATTACTCTCTCCTGCTTTTATTATAATATAAGGCCCTTCCCTACAATCTCCAAAGTATTTTTTTAATCATTTGCCTTTGATATCAAGATAGCAATCTCCCAACTAACTAAATAACCTTCTCTAATCAACTGACACTAGTCGTAATTTTGGAATTTCGAAAATGCCAACTAATTTTAACCGAAATCTTTAATTTATGTAAAATTATTAATATTAATAGGTATTTATGAGAGCCAAAGGGAGTATTCTATAATTGAATATAAGATTAGTCTTTTCAATTTTCAAAGGGGTAGTCTTAGTTTATCCCTGTGAAAAATTAAATTAAAACTCTTATATACATCCTTGTATTTATTTTCTAAATCACAATGGACTAAGCCTACCAACCCAACCATTTCTTTTGCCGTCAGACCCAACAAAATATAGTCGGGTCAAACCCGTCTCACCAGACTGCTAGACTCATGGACAACCCTACTCATTGCCATCCCTATTTTACATGATGTTAAAAATACTGAAAAATGAAAGAAAAAGGTCTCAATTATAGAAGCATGGCACTAAAAAACAAGAGTGCAACAAGAAAGAGGAGTGTTTCTCACCTTCCAGGAAATATACAACTCCCGTGACCTGCAATGGTATCCCCACAAGAAAGAAAAAGAGGAATTAACACTAGTGTTTAACTTGGACTACACAACAAAGAGAAACCACACAAAATATGTGGAGCCACATCAAACAGTGTTTTGGTGCAAGCAATGGACCTTTCAGAGAAATTGATGTTAGAAAGCTACTTCCATATGAAGGGAATCTAGAAACATGGCTCAAGAATCGTTTCAGTTGTCAGGTGGTTCTCCGGGACACACAAACTAGTATCCGACTACAAGTCAAGGATTGCTTCATGTAGATGTAGTTGCCTAATATGTCCAGGACAATGAAATCATCAGACCCCTCTGTTTTCCAATTTTCTCACATCAAAGGCTAAAGTGTATATTCAATGTGCCACACAAAACGCTTTCATGGAATTCACAACTCAAGCCTCACTTCTACTATTTCTTGCTTCCTTGTATGATTCTTCATACTCTGCTACAATATTAATACCATAACTAGGCCAAGCAAACTAGGTTTTCCGATGAAAATAATGGCAAATGTTATGTTCTGACTAAAGAAAATGTTTTTAAAAGGAATTGTGATTTCTTTATAATAATGCATTAAGCATATAATAGAAAGTGTAACGCAACAGGGTAGAATTTGTACAGAATCTTATTACTTCCTTTATTTCCACCCACTTCCTCGTTTTCCTCCTCTATGTCTCTCCAAACACACATTTTATGTAGTGACGGTGACCTGCTGAATGCAGAGCATCCGGATTTCCGAAAAAACCGCACATGCATCTAAGAGTATTGATTCTCTTTTTTCCTTAATACTCTATACTGAGAAAACCATAAACTAAGGCACTTAATCAAGGTTTTGAAAGATGTTGACGTTCTCTTTTTTCCTTAATACTCTATACTGAGAAAACCATAAACTAAGGCACTTAATCAAGGTTTTGAAAGATGTTGACGTTCTTCCTTAAGGTTTCCCAGTACTTTCACACAATAAAGAAAAGAATAAAATAATTATAGTCACACGTACTTGGATCAGTGGTGGTGATGATAGCCACTCCTTTGAAGTCACAAGATCCAGGAGCCTTCCCTTCTTTCTGATAATAGCTATCAAACGCATAGGAAGCATGGCTCTTCACGTTATTAGGTTGATAGCAGCTCTCTCCAGGTTGAATCTCTGAACAATTCGCCTTCCCTGGTCCACAAGCCCAATCCAATGCAGCTTGCAATGTCTTCGTATCAATCCCATCCATGGCAATACAGTATGTCTGATTCGTTGTATCATTTGCCAAAAACGTCCCAATTCCAGACACATGAAGCAGATAAGCCGGCGTAGTGTTCCCGTAAAACAGGCCCCAATTCGCCTCCGACACCGGCGGAGCCCTCAAGTCCTCATTGAACAACTCATATATGTACACGCTCGAAGTGGTTTCTGGGTGCAAAGGGGTTCCACTTCGATCATAAATATGCTTGATCAAGTTCGAATTGTAGGTGTCTGCATTGTCTTTGGTAGCATAAGGCTCTTTAGAATCGCCCTTGGAAGGCCACCCTGTTTCAGTAACAAGAACCACAACATCGGTGACATTGAGATTTTTCATGGAAAAATAGGCAGCATCGATCATAGCATCAAGCACATTCTCGTAATGAAGCAGGGTATTGGGATCCACCATTTCTTTTGAAGGCGTCAAGGGTTTGAACAAGGCATTGTCCAGCGGAACAACCCCTTTGTTCTCCATAAATACATAGTAAGGATAAAGATTCATCATCAATGGCGACCCAGCTTTAGAAAGAAACTGAAGCAGAGGAACGATATGGGAAGCTAGGGTTTGATTGAAGTAAGCCTGAGAAGGAGGAAAAGGGTCGAGAATGATTGAAGCTGCATGAGGGGTTGAAATCTTAATCTGGTTATGGAGATTCGAAGCAACGAGAGCATTATAAAGCGATTGAATTGCAGGAAGAATAAGTGGAGCCGAAGACGGAACGGAGGTCAAAACCTCGTCGCCGACGGCGATTCCGGTGATGAGTGTCTCCGGGTAGTAAGCGACGACGTTTCGGTTGACCCAGGAAGCGGCTGTGGAGTTGGAAGATCCGATTGCAAGGAGCTGGTTATTGGGTATTCCGATTACCACCCGAATATTGGTTCGGGCCAAAGCTTTGATAATGTCCTGGGCCGCATCGTAGAGACGAACATGCGTTATCTTCTGGAGCTTCAGAAACGCAACCAAGTCCGACGAAGAAGGCAGATTTGAAACGTCCGTGCCGATATTCACACCCACGAAAGGCTGTCTGTCTTCCTTTTGCTCTGCATTGGAAGATTCAGCTGCAAAAAATCCCTAAAAGTAGTTAGAGGAAAAAGTCAATCGCAAAAAGCAGAACAGGGTTGGTCAGTGATTATCACCTGGCGATGAAATGAGAAGTTCAGAAATGGCAAAGAAGAGCAAGAAGATGCGAAACAGAAGGTTAAGCTTAGAGTTCGCCATTGAGAAGGAGCTTGAACTTCACATCCTCATCCTCAAGTGCTTCTGGTTGTTCAGCTACAGATTCTTGCATTATCTTCTGAAAAGCTTGTGCTTTTTTTGTCAGGAAAAGAACAAAAATGATCAAAAATAATAAATATACGGTGGTCCGTGGATAGTTGCAGAGCAGTCTTGAATGGCAGAACAAAGAAAAGAAGATAGTTGTAGCTAAGCTAATGGGAGCGTCCTGAGTGTTCACTGCAATTTCGTGCTTGACGGTTCGATGACCTTTTCCAGTGTGAAATGTCTAAATTAACCCTGCGAACCTTAAGTTCTCTGACGTCCGGCCTTCACAGTTCCGAATGTGAAAGGAAAAACACTCATTGTAAGTTACTTTAATTCTTAATATGAGATATATTTAACTAATTTAATTATTAAAAAAATTAAATAAGTTAGTTAATTATAAAAAATATAACATATTTTTTTAAAACATTATAATCATTTTTCTTAATACTGTATCCCTCTCTTATACTTGATTATGATTGAGGGAGTATTCATAGAGATAATTTAAAAAAATTAATAAATATAATAAATGAGTATTGTATTTAGGATCAAAACTAACTTAACAATTGGATCTTATATTAAGGATAAGAAAAATATGTTATTATTCTCCCTCCCATTCAAAATATAAAATAAATCTTATTTATTTATATTTGTCAAAAAAATTAGTTAAAATCAGCTCAAAGCAATAAATATGTGATGCATGCGTTCTTTTCAGATTGCTCTGATTAATAAATAAATTTTTTTCAGATATATTTTTATTAATGAAAAAATAAGTAGAAAATACAATAAATAAATTAAAGAGAAAAGAGAATATATGTTAAAGGTAAAATTAAAAAAAATCATTAAATATTTAGACAAAAGTAAATGTTATCTTATAAAAAAAATAAGCCGCCCCAACAAAGTTTATCTTATATTTTGAACCATAAGGAGTATTATGAAGATTTAAATCTTAATTACTCTTACTAATCCTTATAATAGACTTCAAATATCTAATTTTTGAATAACAAAAAATCAGTTAAAAATAATAAATAAATTAGAAATATATTTTTATATGAGAAAAATGAGAAAAAATAATGAAAGAGGATGGATGGAAAAAAATATAATAAGAGAGATCACGGCACATGAGAGAGAATAAATAATTAAAAACAAAGTTGACAAAAAAATGTATTAAATATTAAAAACAACTCTAAAATGAAACTTATAAAATAAATTACACTCCTATCTAAATTTAAAACTTATAAATAAGAGCGGAAAGAGTAGTATCCATTAATCCATGTTATAAGTTAGTTATAATTATTTATAATTTATTTTTATGTATTAAATAATGCATTAAATTGATAACATTTTACAAATTTGCGTTTACCAAATTTTTTTCTCTACATGCATTTACTAATCATTTTTAAATATTTCTTCTCTTTTTTTCAATAAAAATTAAATAAAATTAAAATTAAAAATTAATTACTAAACACCTAACAAGTCACTTATATTTAGAATAAAAATTTTCTTTTTAAGTGAGTGATCTTTAAAAAAATGCAAAATGACAGCATTAAAATAACTATTGAGATCGTTCAGGGTTTAGGCATGAACCACGCTGTTTTAATGGGATTCACTTTCATTGGCCCGATGAATGTTCACACTTCCCCTTGACGATTAAGTGGGCCAGTAGGGGTGATCATGTAATTTAACATTTTTGGATGGGCCAAGAATTAAAAAATATTACTACTATTTGTGCCACTAAGAAATGTATAGAATATTTTTAATTCCAAATGTAAGGCCTCGAATCTTTGATGTAGATTTGTTTTATGTTTGCAGCCAACGTGACAGGTTTCAAAAAAACGCGCGATATTTGGTTTGTACGTGAAGGAGGCGCCACTAACTCTCTGCTAGGGTTTTATATTTCAAAAAATGATATGAATATAATGAAATATAATTATAGAAAATGAAATGTAATATTCCTCCAGTCCTAAATATAAAACACATTTTATTCACACTATAAAATGAGTCTTATATTTAGAACAGGAGGGAGTAATATATAAAATCCCGGACCAGCTATCCCACCCATCGAGGTGCCTACAAGCCAGCGAAGGAATTAGTCACCGGGTCCACCAGTGGATACCCTGATGTTCCATCAAAAAAAGATGCTATTCTAGCAACCAAAAATCTTTAGACAGTTGTTTTAAATTTCAAAGACAAAAATCAAAATGAAGTCAAACTTTATAGAACAAAACCAGTTGTTTCGATTTTCAGAGAATGAAACTTAAATAAGATCAAATTTTTGTCTCGTATGCAAAAAAGATAAATAAACGTTATATTTAGTTTATAAAAATGAAAATAAATGTAAAATGATCTCTTTAAACACTATCAAGAACGAAAATGGAGAGTGTATATATCCATTCATTGATTCAATAAGCTTGAATCGAGATTAAATTAGCCAAAATGTTCTCATAGTGATTACCTAATTGTTGTAATATGTTAATAATGAGGATTATAATTACTTTATTGTAATCATTTTATTATTAATATAATTCAATCTTTTATTTTTTTTTATAAAAAAAGTCCTGAAAGACGCTGCCTGCTGAAGTCTTTTTTTAACCATGTTAATTAAAATTTCTGTTTAAAAATAGTATTAAAAAATAGATAAATAAATAAATCAATTTCTTCCCTTTTCAATTGTAAAAAAGTGCAAAAGAGGAATTCTTTATGAGCAGATTGGAAGAGAAAAGGTCCTTTTTTGGTCAAGGAAAAGTCGCACAGTGAAAATCATGCTCATCCAATTTTTTAAAAATATTAACATATTATTTTATTCACTTAAACTACTGTAGATTATTTAAAATATTTTTTAATGTTGCTTAACTTGATCATTAGCATTTTTAATTAATCAATTATGATGGGTACGACAAACTTTCTTTCATTGGAAAGTGGAAACCACATTTACCCTCACGGGTCGCTTACTTTTATTAAAAAGAATTTACTGTACGTGTCAGTAATTACAAAATATATAAAGGACAATCCCATCTGTTATAAGTAAATAAATAAGACACTAAAATTTAAAAAATAAAATAAAAAAGACCCTGTCATAATTTATCAAATATTGATTCAGCGGGATTTTTATTGAACACTCCTCTAAACCCTTATGCAAGATATAATTAACTAATTTGAATAGATTAAAAATATTAGTTAAATTAGTTAATATAATTTTTTTAAAACGTTTTAATTATCTTTTTTAATTTTTCCTCTCTTTTTCCTATTTAATTATTTTCAAAAAAATATTAATAGGATTAATTTGAGAAAAAATTAATAAACATGTGAATTGTGTAAACCTTTTTAATACAAATATACTCCTACAATACCTATAAAAATACGTTGGCAGAAAAAATACTTATAGAAATACAAAACACGCAACTCAAAAAAATAGTAGAACACATCGCTTCTCTCACAATTCATATTATATATATATATAATACTACTTGAAAATGGCAACAAGCAACAATAATATGGTACTGCTTTTTAAAGTAATATGACTTTTTTTAAAAAAAATAGTTTTAAAAACGTAATATCAAAATTTAGTATCTTATTTTTCACCTGAGTGCTGAATATATTTGTAATTTTGGCAGGAAAGACGAGAGCTAAACAGAGTGACAGGATCCTATGGTCACCCAAATACAAGCAAAACGTCAAAGGCAGGCATAAGCCTGAAAGTTACAGCTCAGATTCAAAATAAAAAAGACAAACCTTACCAGTTTCACTACTCCCTTAATTTAAAGGAGGAAAAAGTCAAGCACTAGTATGTAAATAAAGTATAAAAATAATGATAATAATTAGGTAAAATTGGTTAAAAATCTTCTTTGACAAACTAATTGAGGAATAAGACTTGCAATAAATATAAAGTTATTGGTCCCTCAAGTATCGATAAGTTTGATAGGAAAAAGATCACATTGCTTTAACGGATAGTAATTACATATGACAGATGCTCACTTGTATCTGATAGATGCCTATTTGCATATAAGTTAATTGCATAATATGAATGCTAATTGCATATAACTGATACTTGCTTACATATGACGGATCCCTACTAATCACATATGGATTTATTATGTAATACGAATGCTCATTTGTATATGATAGATGTTCACTTGTATATGACGGATCCCTTGCATATGCAAGTGAGTATCCGTCATATGTAATGGATTATATGAAAATGAGCATCATATGCAATTAGTCATATACAAGTGATAATTTGTTATATTGAAATGAGAATATGAGGATCCGTGCTATATAAGTGAGAATTTATCATATGCAATTAGCACTCGTCAGGGTAGTGTGATCTTCTTTCTATCATACTTGCTGACTCACACTTTTACTTTTATTATAGGTCCCATTTCCCAATTAATTTGTCGAAGGGGGATTTTTAACCAATTTTTCCTAATACTTAGGTGAATCTTATACAAAATATGAGAAATGAATCCCACCATATATAATTAATTTACATTGATACAAATAAAATTGTTTTATTCAATCATCTATTTAAATATTAATATATTGAAACAAATAAAAACAATTTTGTTATAAAAAATATTAGTTTTATAACCAATTAAAACATTTGTTCTTTTTTTTTTTTATGATTATTACATAAAATTTAGCTTAGCTAGGTCTAAAGACTCAATAGAATGGAGGCATATCTCTGGGTTTAGAGAACGCTTACCAATATACCACTCTAATCCTTATTGTTAGTCACTTATATAGAGATTTTAGTTCTAAATATAAGTTACTTGTACCTATTCTTTTTGAATTAAAGGGACAAGTATACTAACAGTTTGAAGTTACAAGTAGAATCAAACTCATGATCTCCTACTTATAAGGAAAGCTTATGCTATGAGGCTATTGGTAGTTACTTGTACCTTATTTAATACTTCTTTTCAATTTTGCCCCTATTGATTATAATAAACAATTAATTAACTCTACCAGTATTTTGGCTCCATATCTCTTTAACAAGGGCAAAAGCAAAAGATTTCATCTGTTTAATGTTCTAATTGATATATGAGAAACTCTTACAAGTGACTAACAATAAGAACCAGAGTAGTATTTATAAATTGTGCACCAACAAGCTATTCACATTAGCAAATCAAAGTTTAAACTCATGATCTTGTAAATTTTGAGTTACCTTCTCAC